TATGATCATTTAGTGTAACGCCTGATCAAATATTATCATGCAGTTTAAACTTATGTCTTCTATTTGTTGTTCGGGAATTACAAGCATCTTATGGACAAAGACCTAGTACACCATTGCTTGTCCGCTAATGATATGATGTGAGTAATTATTTTCTGACCGCTAGATATGTGTAGGTTGATGGTGAAACACTTTGGGTGAAACAATATCACTTTCTTTGGTGCTAAATGCTAGTTACTTATTAGCAGGAAACTAAATGCCAATTACTTATTAGCAGGTAAGTAAATGCTAAATAATTGTGGCCTCTTTTTGTGGCAAACAAAATGCTAATTACTTGTGGCCTGTTCTAGCAGAACATCAGCAATCAGGATGTTGATTTTTTTTTGTCAGAAAACTTTTTGCAGCAGAGAATTGCTTCATCAGTAGAAATCTTGTCTGCTTGTTGGTATGTATTCATGTAGGTAGGTTAATATTATCTGCAATGAGCAACACCATTCACTTTCCATTTTAGTCTTGCTTATAGTTATACGATGTCTGTAATGCTGCACCTATGCTCCAGTCCGGTGCAGTTCTGAAACTGGGTAGCAGCAGTAAATCCCGTTTCAGCTTCAAGCCTCCAAGACAAACTGCACTATCCTTGTGTTGCTGCACCCCGGACAAACTGAAACTATCCTTTTGTTCCTAGCGTTCAGGAGATTTTTTGTTGGTGATTTTGTGAAAAATAGATACGAAGAACTAAGAATAGACATAGTCTGGAATTTTGTGATCATGAAAATTTGGTAAGAGTTTTTTCTGAACGAAGCAGCCGTCGGTTAATTAGGTAGCAGTAGCTAGGTCAGCACGAATTCTTGTGTAGCCTGTTAACTTTGCATAGTTCTCCACGGAGCTACTATGAACATTTAATGCAAGACCCGATTAAATATTACCATGCAGCTTAAACTTATGCCTTCTGTTTGCAATTAGATATGTGTTTGTTCAAACAAATTTTATCGACTGAGACCTAGTAAACCATAGCCTGCCTGCTAATGATATAATGTGTGTGACCATTTTCTTTACTGTTAGATATGTGTTTGTTGATGAGTGTCTAGACAAATAAAGTGGCCTCTGCCAAACAAGTCTTGTAGTCTTCTGGAAAAACAAGTTTCACATAGTCTCTTTGCAAAGTAGAAAAGTCTCAACATGTGACTAAACCATTAAGAGCAAGGAGTGGGAGGATGACATGCACCCAGATAAAAGTTTGACTGGTATTTCTAATATTTGCAGTAGGTAGTTCCAAATTCATTACTGTTCCATAGAAACTGCCCTTATGTTTAATTATCTTTGAATTTGTCTTCGCTTGGACTTCCTTCGCATCTTACACAGCACCCAATATAAGTGAACTCTAGTCTAGCAAACTTTGACTGTATAAATTAGCCGTTTCTTGGTTGAGCGAAATATGGGACCAACTTGTTGTGCCTTTTTTTGGGAACACTTGTTGTGCCTTTGACATGTGGGACCTCCTAACCAGCATATGAGCCCGTATGCAAGAGCCAAATGTGCAGTCGGTCTCGCTTCGACGTATGGGACCGACATATGCATATGGGACCTCCTAGCCAGCATAGGAACACTTGTTTCCGTTTTCCCATGGGGCCCAATGTCCAGTCCCCTACCAGCGATCCCCAGTATCGTTCCCCAACCCACCATGGCGGCAACCCAACCATGAGGCAACCGGCTTGCCGTGCGGCCATGGTGGTTGCCGACTTCAAGTGCGGAACGGCTAGAGCTCCTCAAGGGCTGGCGCGGGAGCCTCACCGACGGTGATGCGCGCTACGTGGATGTGCCGTGCCACCGCGGTTCCCCACGAGTTGTTCGAATTCCCCGGTAATTTGAGTCGAAACTGTATCCTCAGTACCAACACTGTATCCTCAGTACATGGCCTCTGAGAGTTGGTATGAGTGTCTTGAGCTGCATCATCATCCCAGAGTTGGTTATGTATCGCGTGTCTGCCTCCTCAACGATGGCGCCAGCTCTCATCAGGAGGTGCTGCAAACTATGCACCACCTTCTCCTCTGATTTCGCGTGGCTCATGGAGCTGTACTTGTTCAGCAGGAAGGAGATGAACTGGCTCATGAGTTCAGCTGCAATCGCAGATATGGCAGTCTCCATGGCTGGGAATGGTGAGGTAAGCTGCGGGCCGGTCTCTGGACAAATTTAACTATGCTGGCCTCTTACAAGTCTTCCGGAGATCTTGGCAAAATGGAAAAGTCTCCATGGATGACTTTGACTGGGACAGATGGGCGGGTGAAACACGGAGAAGAAGCATGGAAAACTGAACCGGTATTTAAAATTATTGTGGGTCAAAATTTATTATTGTTAATTAGCTTCGCATTTTTAGGTCGTTGGACTCTCTTTACGCTACATATGAGTGAATCAAAATGCATGGATGACTTTAACTAGGACAGATGGGCTGGTGAAACAGGGAGTAGAAGAAGCATGGAAAAATGCATCGGTACTTAATATTATTGTGGGTCAAAATTTATTATTGTTAATTAGCTTCACATTTTTATGTCTTTGGACTCCTTTTACACTACATATGAGTGAATCAGAATGCATGGATGACTTTGACTGGGATAGATGGGCGGTTGAAACACGGAGTAGAAGAAGCATGGAAAATGCATCGGTATTTGATATTATTGTGGGTCAAATTTATTCTTGTTAATTAGCTTCACATTTTTAAGTCGTTGGACACCTTTTATACTACATATGAGTGAATCAGAATGCATGGATAACTTTGACTGGGACAGATGGGCGGGTGAAACACGGAGTAGAAGAAGCATGAAAAAATGCATCAGTATTTAATATTATTGTGGGTCAAATTATTATTGTGGGTCAAAATTTATTATTGTTAATTAGCTTCGCATTTTCATGTCGTTGAACTCCTTTTACACTAGAATGCATGGTTGACTTTGACTGTGACAGATGGGCGGGTGAAACATGGAGTAGAAGAAGCACGGTAAAATGCATCGGTATTTGATATTATTGTGGGTCAAAATTTATTATTTTTCACATTTTTATGTCGTTGGAATCCTTTTACACTACATATGAGTGAATTAGAATGCATGGATGACTTTGACCGGGACAGATGGGCGGGTGAAACACGGAGTAGAAGAAGCACGGAAAATGCATCGGTAATTAATATTATTGTGGGTCAAAATTTATTATTGTTAATTAGCTTCGCATTTTTCTGTCATTGGACTCCATTTACAATACATATGTGTGAATCAGAATGGTATCCATATAGGTATACTCTGCTCCAGCAAAGTTGTTTGGGCTTTTCCAGATGAACTTTTCTGGAGAAAGCAGGGGAGCAACTTATCGGCACATACTTTAGTAGTAATCTTCCGGAGGACATGTAACCAGTTTGCCTGTGCATTTTGCTCCTTTGATTGGTTCTTCAGAATCCTGTGCCTTATGTTTTGTCCACACGTACTTTCATAGCTTATTTTGTGCTAGTTCAGTTTTTAATCAGAAACTGTTGCATCTTGTGCATTCTTCAAAGTTTAGGCTGGGTCTGATGTTGATCTCCACCATGGGGCAAAAATGGAAAGGAAAATAGCATGATGCTACTAGAGGATCGACACCTTGTTTTTTTCCCTATTTGAATCAAGATTGTCTAGACAAATTAAGTGGCCTCTGCCGAACAAGTCTTACAGTGTTGTGGGAAAACAGGTCTCACAGAGACTCTTTGCAAAGTAGAAAAGTCCCCAGGGGTGACTAAATCGACACCGACGAGTCGGTCGATGACAGCCAGATTCTTGTCTAAATGTCCACACATGTGACACAGAGAAGCCAACAATCCAAGTATTATGAAAATAATTGACTACTATTTCCGGAACAAAATACATGTATGTTTGATTATCTTTGCATTTGTCTTGCCTTGGATTCGTTTTACATTTTACATGGCATCCAATATATAAACTTGAGTAGAGAAGCAGGGCGCAACTCATCAGCAAGGAAACGGTATGCTCCTTTTTTTCATCACAACTACATAGTTGGGTGGAAATCTTCCAGTGGACATGTAACTAGTTCGTCTGTACATTTGACAGAGTGTGAAGAAGCCCATCTGTAGAAATAGAGATTTCGGCTGGTCGATTGCAGGCGCATATGCCCATATGGAATCAGCTCTAGTAAAATTCTAGCCAGAACTATGCAATGATGATGATAATGTTGGTAAACAGCTAACTAAATACAAGAAGGAAATGGTAAACGAGTAGAATTGTGCTGTTGGATAGAGTTGGTTGGTCAATCCTGAGCTTGAGTGAAGGCGGTGAAGTGAATGACGCTTTTCTCCTATTTTGCCCAGATTCAAATTTAGAGCTCCAGTAAACAATCTTTTCTTATTCCAGTTCAGTTTTCTCGCCTTGGTATATGGATCAGGATTTGTACAATGGTGTGAGATGATGTTGTTGGTCATAAAAATGGAAAAAGTATATTTTTGTCCCTCTACCTTTTTGAAAAGTTTAGAAATGGACTATGATTTCGTCGAGCTGGCTGCACCGTACACGTAAAGCAAAGCAATCTGGTATACTAGCAGAGTTAGCTCACATACACAAGTTAATTGTTCTAGTTGATTCCTTGGTGGCCTAACGCACCGGCTAGAAGCGCATGAGGGAGAGCTTGTGATACGATGGACTAAGCTTATCCGGTTTTGAAAGTGGAGGAACCAAGATTTGTTGGTTTTGGAGTCGAGGAACCATTTCTATACTATCAAAATAGTTGAGGGATGAAAATATACTTATCCCTCTATAAAAAAGTGTAGGATCTGATAGAACACACAATTTTATTATAGATCTCCAGTACATTTATTTGAATGGTATAAAAATTACTCCTTGGAACATTTTTTCCATGGCCATGTGAACACATCCGTTTCAGATATACCAAAAAAATACAACAAGAGTTACATTATAGGAGTTTTGAAACAAAATTAGATTGGCACTCCTCTTCGCTTCCTCCCTGGCAATGCGCTACCCTTCATGTGTACCCTGAGTACGACTTGTGACAAAAAGATGAACTAAATTATGAGGCGGTATCCTTGATTCCCATGCAATTAGAATGAAGTCACCTTCTGGTCTAACACTTGGATCTGCTAGAAGTTCGCCCATTGTCACACTTGGTGACTCCTCCTTAATTGAAACATCAATTGTATAACGTTTCACGCTAAGTGGATGCAGCGCAATATCTGTTATGTCCACATGATGGCCTTCTTCAAAAAGCATGTTTGGGTGCACACCGTATGTGGAGGCATTTCTTTTGGCATATCTTATCACCTTGTCCAATATGCAGAGCCAAAACCGAACATTAAGGTTCTTTCTCAACACATCCGCTAGTGTATTTGTTGCAAGAAGTGTACTTGGCACAATGTACAACACCTTGGTAAATTCATCTGCTATTTGTACTAGCCATGGATGTTCTGCAGGGTCTGCACTCCCGAACGCCAGTTTCTTGAAAAGGTATCTCAACTCGTCATAAGACAGAACACTTAGGAAAATAGGCTGCACTGATCCAAACCGGGCTAACCTTTTAAGTTTACTTATGATGATGATCTTGCTTCCTCTGCTCATTCTTATGAGAAACGAGTGAAACATTTTCCATTCATCGTCGCCTACATCAGAAGCAAACTCAATAATTACCAACATCGTCCCAAACATGGTCCTTCCATGGTCAAGTATGGTCAAGAGGTTGTGTCCATTCAAGTGCAAAATAGATGAGAAGCGTGAGTGGACCCTTTCGTCGCCACACACATGAGCAACCAAGGTTTTCTTTCCAACGCCAACACCTCCTATGATTGGAAGAATTGCAAGTGCATGATCACCAGGAAGGTTGTTGTTCTCCAACAAGAAGCTCATGAGCTTTTGCTTCTCAGTGCGTCGGCCGAACATGAAATTGTCAGTGTAAAGATAAATGTCATACGGCCTACGGGACATGCGCTCGCATCCACCCAGAAGAACTATAAATTCTGCCATATTAGCAATAGAAATTTCTAAGCTTTCCAAGGCACCATATGACTCAAGGCACATTGCCTTGTCATCCTTCTTGGATGTTGTTCGAAAACGCTTGAAAGGAATGAATTGCAAGCTGCTGCTAGACGAGTCATTGATGCTAACCTTGTCGAAGCCTGCACTGTTTTGGAGGGCACAATACCTCAATTTGTCCAGCACACGATATCCTTGGTACATGGCCTTTGAGAGTGTCTTGACCTGCATCATCATCCCGGAGTTGGTTATGTATCGCGTGTCTGCCTCCTCAATGATGGTGCCAGCTCTCATCAGGAGGTGCTGCAACCTCTGCACCACCTTCTCCTCTGATTGGGCATGGCTCAAGGAGTTGTACTTGTTCATTAGGAAGGAGATGAACTGGCTCACAAGTTCACTTGCAACTGCAGATATGGCAGTCTCCATGGCTTGGATTGATGAGGTAAGCTGTTTGGCCGGTCCCTGGACAAATTTAACTATGCTGGTCTCTTACAAGTCTTATGGAGATTCTTGGCAAGATGGAAAAGTCTCCATGTGTGACTTTGACTGGGACAAGTGGGTGGTTAAAACATGAAGTACAAGAAGCATGGAAAATGAGTAATCTTCTAGAGGACATGTAACCAGTTTGGTGGGTCAAAATTGATTATTGTTAATTAGCTTTGCATTTTTCTGTCATTGGACTCTTTTTACACGAGATATGAGTAATCTTCTAGAGGACATGTAACCAGTTTGCTTGTACATTTGCTCCTTTGTTCAATCTTTGATTGAAAACTGTTGCACGTTCGTGCATTTTTGATAGTTTAGGATTGGCCTCATGTTGGTCTCCACAGTAGGGTAAATATGGGAAAGGAAAATAGCATGATGCAACTTGCTTTTGTTTCCTCTTTGAATCAAAAGTCTCTGGACAAATTAAGTGGCCACTGCCAAACAAGTCTCAGATAAGACTCTTTCCAATGTGGAAAAGTCTCCAGGGGTACGTGTCTATACTGTACACACAAATACTTGTCTAAATGTCCAAACATGTGGCAAGGAAAAGCCAACAGTCCAACCGGCATGAAAAGGATTGACTAGTATTTCTAATATTTACTTATCTTTGTTTTGCCTAGGTGAACTTCGATGGAGAAGTAGGGTACTGTTTCATCTTGGTCAGTGATGATGAGAAGCGAATCAGTCTGGGTACCCTCGGGAGTAACCTGTCTGTCTGTACATTTGCTCCTTTGATTTCTTCAGAACCCAATCAGTCTTATGTGGCTTATATTGTGCTTGTTCAGTCTTTAGTCGAAACCTTTTGCACCTTGTGCATTTCTTCAGAGTTCATGCTTGAGCTGATGTTCAGCAGTGACAGCAGAGAGCTCATCATCATCACGTGGATTTTCATGAGCGCCTTGTACAGTCAATTTTTATCATTATTGACAGAAGAGTGCTAGTCAGTAAATCAACAGTTGTTGTTAGATTGAGAAAACAGAGGCTAGCACTATGTTTGATAGACAGAAAATACAACAAGAATTTATCTGAGTAATGTCTCACAAGATGGAACCTGTTGGTTAATAGTACACCTCAATCAGGCACTGAAGAAATATTTCGCAGTTTCTGGGTGATATGTGTTTCATCTCTGTTATACTAGTTCCCTTCATGTTTCCATCAGTTTGTGTAACAAAAAATGCTGATGCACGCTTCGCTAATGCATGAGCTCAGCTTCTTCTCTCTGCGTCGCTGCATACGAGGTGTGGTGTAAGTAACACAAGCAATTACCTGTCCAGGTTTCCGACGGCCAGCCACACAACCCGCCACCCTCTGTTCGTCACTGGAGGCTGGTCGCGTTCGGAAGGAGTGGTCAGTATATCACCGAGGCCCGTATCTTGGTGGGCTCAACATGCTTTTCTTTTGCAAGTTCTGTAACATGCTTTGGACTGAATCTGCTAATACAAAATTTAGCTTGCATCAGAAAAACAGAGCTAATATTAACAAGCACGTTTCCTTGTTGCTCAGGTCTAAGCTGGACAGCAGACTGTATACTCTATCTCCCGGTTCTTCTATCTGAAGAAACATATTCACTGACGCCAAATTCAGTTCTGGTAAGTACTGGTAAACTTGAGTTCTGGGAAGTTCTAGAAGCATATATACTACGTACTCTTTCTCTAGTTAAAGAAAATGATGCCAAACTAACTTGACCGGCACTAGGAGGTCTTGCCTTAACTGACCCTCACTTGGCAAATTTTCTCCTCCAACAAAAAAGTTAGTCAACACTTGATTAATTAAGAGGCGGATTTGTTTCCATTTATCTGCCGTGTCATAGGATCCTGTCGGTAATGCTTAGCTGCCAAATGCTTTTCTGTGTTGCTCCCTGGATAAAACATAGTGGCAAATCTAAAACATTGCCAAAAAAATGTATTTAGGCTGGATTGTTGTGTAGAATCACAATTTGTTTTTGTGAAAAAAACATATGTTTCTTTTTGTGGAGGGTGTGAAAAGTCTATGTTTATTTTTGTCCTATACCAAAAACATATACTATTTTGGTTACTGTATTAACCTCTCACTGTTATTTGCCTCAACTGACCGTCAATAGTCAAAACTTTTCCTAACAAAAGGTAGTCAAAACTTGATTAAGTGGCGCATTTGTTTCCACTTAAATTGTTGCCGTGTGGCTTAGGGTCCTTTCTGCCAAATTATTGCTCTCTGTTGCTCCCCGGAGAAAACCCACCAGCAAGTTACAAACAGCTTCCTAAAAAGTATAGGTCTAGATTCTAGAATATTGTGTAGAATATCAATTTATTTTTTGCGGAAATATGTGTTTATAACTTTATGTGTGTCTTATACCAAAAAAATATACTTCCCTTTTATTAACATCTCACCATTATCTGTGCAAACAAATACACAACTTTTTAATAAAAGGTTTTAGTGTCCACACAACATGCATTTGAAATATAAATTATGTCTAGAAATTTTCCAAAATTTCCGGTCGCATCCAGTTGTGAGAATTCACTTTATGTACTTTTTATAGCAATGCTGAACTTGACCGGCAGAGTTAAAGCGTCCGTCAAAACTTGTTGAAGCGATGGAATCTTCTCCACTACCATATTTACCACGATGGTTACTACATCCTATATATATAACATATATTCATATCTTAATCTCCAGATATCAGAAAGATTCATCAAAACAATTTTCAACCCACCATGCTTCGTTTTTTCATTGTCTTCGTGCTTGCCATATCTGTTCCTCCGGCGGCGTGCTCTTCTGCAGCAAATGGCAGCAGCATCTTGACAGAAGGCCAAGAGCTCAGCGGTGGCAACAGGCATCTTGACATCTCAGAGAATGGCAAGTTCGCGTTGGGCTTCTTCACATCAGGCAGCAGTAAGTCTTCCTCAGGCAACACCACCTTGCCCAACTGGTATGTAGGTATATGGTTCAACAAGATCCCAAAGTTCACTCCTGTGTGGATTGCGAACAGAGAAAAACCAATCACTGACCCCAAGTTTAGACTGTCCAAGCTTAGAATCTCAAGGGATCGCAATCTTGTCATCTTAAGTCATGCGGCTAAATCCGTAATCTGGTCCAGTCAAATAATAGCAGCCAAAGGTAGAAGAACAACTAACAAAAATACTACCATCATGGCGGCGCTCTCAGACGAAGGCAACCTTGTCATAAGAGACGCCTCGAACCCATCCATCGTGTGGTGGCAGAGCTTTGATCACCCAACAGATGTTTTCCTCCCCGGCGCAAGGATTGGCCGGAACAAGGTTACTGGCCAAAAATACAGTCTTGTTTCGAAGAAGAATCTGATTGATCCAGCTCCCGGCCTATACTGCATGGAGCTAGACCCCACTGGTGATCCGCAATACTTTGTGAAACATTGTAATTCATCCATGGCGTACTTCTCTACCGGGAAATGGATGGGGTGGTACTTCAATTTGGTGCCGGAGATGTCAGGCAGTAACTTTCTCCACACCAATTTCATCGACAATGATGATGAGGAGTAATTCACTTACGCCCCGACGGATCCAACAATGATCACCATCTGCTTCCTTGAGGTCTCTGGTCTTACCAAGCAACTTCTTTGGCTTGAAAGCTTGCAAGATTGGGAAACCATATATGTCCAACCCAGGGCTCCATGCGATGTTTTCGCCGTTTGTGGGCCTTTCACGGTCTGCAACGACAACACACTTCCATTATGTAACTGCATGAATGGGTTCTCCGTGAAGTCACCAGAGGACTGGGCGCTGGACGATAGAAGAGGTGGATGCATGAGAAATAATCCACTAGAACATTGCAACAGCAACAAAAGTAACACAACAGGAATAACTGACCAGTTCTTTCCCATACATAGTGTTAGATTACCATATTATGCACATAGCATGGAAACAATTGAGAGTGGACAAGAGTGCATGCAGGTTTGTCTAAGAAATTGCTCATGCACTGCCTATTCCTATGGCAAGAGTGGCTGTTCTATCTGGCATGGCCAACTAATTAATGCAAAGCAGTACAATAATGGCACAGTCAATGGTGATGGAGAGATTCTTTTCCTTCGTCTTGCTGCTGGAGAGGTGCAAAGTTGGGGAAACAACACAAAAGGAAATAAAAGAATGATCATCGGTCTCACTGTTGGTGCTTTCGGTTTGTTGGTGATGATATTGATGATTTGGAAGGGGAAAAGGAAGTGGTGTTCTCATCCCCCGAGCAACGCTGAAGGTGGATGTGGAGTTATAGCATTTAAGTATGTTGATTTGCAGCATGCAACTAAAAATTTCTCAGAGAAGCTAGGTGTAGGTGGTTTTGGCTCTGTATTTAAGGGGATTCTGCGTGACTCGACTACCATAGCAGTTAAGATGCTTGTCGGTGCACGCCAAGGAGAGAAACAGTTCAGGGCTGAGGTCAGCACAATTGGAATGATCCAACATGTCAACTTAGTCAAACTGATTGGTTTTTGCTGTGAAGGTGATAGAAGGATGCTTGTTTATGAACACATGGCTAATCGTTCTCTTGATGTCCATATATTCCAAGGCAATGAATCTATGCTAGATTGGAGTACAAGGTTCCGAATTGCCATCGGTGTTGCTAAAGGATTGTCCTACTTGCATGAGAGTTGTTATGACTGCATAATACATTGCGATATTAAGCCAGAAAACATACTTCTCGATGCGGCGCTTGTTCCTAAATTGCAGATTTTGGGATGGCAAAACTAATGGGAAGGAACTTTAGTCGAGTTCTGACAACAATGAGAGGAACCATAGGATACCTTGCACCTGAATGGATTAGTGGGGTGGCTATTACACAAAAAGTTGATGTTTACAGCTATGGAATGGTACTGCTAGAAATCATGTCTGGAAGGAGGAACTCATCACCTCAAGAATGTACAGGCAATAGTGATCATGATGTTTATTTTCCTGTGCAAGCTGCACTTAAGCTTCTTGAGGGAGATGTGAGGACTTTGGTCGATCAACAATTACATGGTGACATCAACATGGAGGAGGTTGAAAGAGCTTGCAAAGCTGCATGTTGGTGCATTTCAAGATCATAACTTTGATCGTCCGACAATGGGCGATGTGGTTCAGGTTCTCGAGGGTCTAGTAGAGCTTGATATGCCCCCAGTGCCAAGATTGCTTCAAGCTATATCAGGAAGCTCTTCTACAATTTGAATATAATCCATGTAAGGAAAAGTTCAAATTTCAGCAGGGTTGTAATAAATGAGCTGAGAAGTTACCCTTCATACACACTTTAAATTTCAGCATGGTTGTAATAACTGAGCTGAGAAGTTACCCTTCATACACACTTTTCCATAGTGATTGATACTACTAAATACATGTCTTGAAGTTTAGTCTCTATTATCGTACAAACTAGTAGGGCAGCCAAATGTATCTGTGTTGCTAGGTTTGTCATGTATCGCCAATTGTATCAACCTGTCAAATGTTTGTTTCTCCCATAAATATCAGTTGACTTATTGGTATACAGAAGTTTGTAGCCAAAATACATTTCCATGACGGGTGTTCTCCATTGCACCTTAATTTCTTTAAATGTTTGCTATTTTCATCCTTGCCCAACACATGGTTCTCTTTTTCTGCCCCTGTTTTATCTTTCACAAATGAGGATTTCAGAATCTTCAATCAGGCCGCTCTATCCATGTATCCAGAAACCGGCGTTTAATGGTCACCAAGGACCCTCACTGGCAGACAACAGAAAATGGTAAATTTACTAAAGGAAACAAATTCACAAAAAAACCTTATTTGTGGTGGTTACCTGTCTAGGCTACTGGCCGGAGCCTTGGAAGTGGGCGACGGCGTCTGCCGGCCATGTTACCGTTGTCTACGCCCGGAAGGGCATAAACAGGACCGGGCAACAGAGGTGATAATAAACAGGACCGGGCAACAGAGGTGATAACATGTGTTTCTGAATTAATGGTGCATCAATGTAATACTTCCTTTGGAAACATTGTAAAGCTGAATCTGTGGTCTAAATGCCGTGTGGCAGAAGGCGTTGTAAATTTTGTTGGCCGTGTGCATCGGTCCATGCATAGGCCGCAAGAGCAATGAAACTCTTGCATATTGTGTAGAATCGAAAGATGAATCAGCTCTGCACCATGATTTATTCGGAGCTGTACCGAGGAATCATATAGAGGAGACGTACGTCCTCCAAGCATGTTCAATCCTTGGAGGACAGCTAAACAAAACTATGAAGCATTATATAGTACATGAAAATACACTGTATTTTGCCCATCTAATGATACCAATTAATTTGGTTTAGCTTTCTTATACAGATTTAGTCAAACTCTGCACCATTTGAGTACAGAGAGTAAAATCTTTGAGCCTTGTTTTGGAGACGGAGTGAGTATATGCATGCCGGCAAAGCTGTCGGTAGGTTGGGACCCAAACCTCTCAAACTCGTGATTGATTTGAGTTGAATGCATGACAGCAAGCACTGACGTCCTCTTAATTGCATGTGTAAATTCTGACCGACTAAGCTCACATGTCCTATTCCTATCTAGTACAATAATCGAGCTGTCTGCAGCACAGATTAAATGCGGTCATCACTGTCACACCAGTTGTTAGTTCGAACGTATGTACTAGTACTCATCCAGCTCTTCTAAGCCTCCACAAGATCGGAAGCTGTGGGTTATCACCTGCCAGGTGACCGCCGGATCCATCCGGAAAGTGATGAAGGAGGAGGGCGACGGTGACACGATACGGAAGAAAGCTGAGGAGCTCGGCGAAAAGGCGAGGGCCGCGGTGGAGAAAGGCGGGTCGTCGTAAGACGATGTTGGGCAGCTCATGGAGGAGTTGATCGCCCGCCGGTGCTCCGGACGTAAGGCGGGTGGATAATGGTGGTCTGGCCTCCCATGTACCTTCGTCCACCACATATATTTCTAGTAAATTCCGTTCATGGTCTAGCTACGTGCAATGTTGGAGTAGCAGCTGGTCGGGCAGTCTACAACCCAACCCTCATGAGCCAGCAACAGTTTTCGTATCAGGCGTGGTAAATCTGAGTGGACTAAGACTTACTATATTCATAAGATCTTATGTGAAGATCTGCGCTATTTTTCTTGTTCTTTTTTCTGTTTATATGTTATATGTTGTCTTATTGAGACTTGATTAAATCTCAGTCGTCTGAAATCTAGCCACACCATCTCCGTATTTCGCTAGTCAGGCATGCATATGTGGCAGCAACAGGTCACACCACTAACTCTCAATGTGGGTCCTGTTTGTCAGTGGGCCAACCGAAGGAGATAAGAAAAATTAAAACGATGGGCTTGCCGCGACGTATCTAACCCTTGAGCTCATGGAGTTTGTCTTATTTCCTAAGGATATGTTCAGTTATCTACACATTTTTCCTCTGGCAATGGGTCCACGGCCGCCTCCCCTCAGGTACGGAGGTCCGCAAACGTAACGGCCCTGGGGATGGCCTCTGCCCCATTTGTTTGGTACCGGAAGATTGCAACCACATCTTCTTCCGGTGCCCTGCGGCGCAGTTCTTATGGAGCTGCTTCCGGGAGGAGGTTGGTGGCAACTGGTGCCACGTCAACCTCCCGGACTTATTTGGGAAGGTTCTTTGGCTCCCGGTTCTAGCCGCCCCCCCCCCCACGCGGGTGGCTTTGGGCACCCTAGTGTGGTCCCTCTGGTGTATCCGTAATAAAATAGTCATAGAACGCGTGATTCCATGCCGTGTGACTGATGCTATCTATAAAACGTGTGTCTTCTTACAGCTCTAGAGACCGCTTAGCAAGCGGCGAGACCGGGACGCCATCGACAACATCATTGTTGGTCTTCGTTCTTCGGCGTTGATTTTTGCTCCTCCACCGCCACCACCACCACCACCTCCCGAGCCAGATTAGCTTCTTTTAGCTTTGTTTGGGGCTTGTCTTGCTGTGCCCCCAGCATTTCTTTATGACTTGATTGTACTCTGTACTATTGCGTTGGATGTTTGGTTCGTTGCTTTATAATATAAAGCGAGGGGAAACCCTTTTTCATAAAATCTACACCTTTTTTTGCCATTTTGCATGTGTATCTCAGTTGAGCCTCGCTAAGATAAAACGGACCAAAACCGGACGCGGTGTTTCTGCACCTTGGTCTAGATGCTCACATCCATAAACAGTAAAATAATTTAAAATAGTAATAAAGAATCCAAATTTGCTTTGTTGTGCGTGATGCCGGTGCCAAATTTGATGGAGTTTGGACATTCAAGAAGCTCATGACAAAAAAGATAAATTTCTGGTAGGTTTTAAGAGGCACTTCATAGCCGATTTTGTCTTTTTTGCCCATGAAATTTTGCACCCACCTAGTGCACACAAGAAACTTGCCTGCACAAAAGTTTGAGGATATTTTGATATTTTTTAATATTTTTTGATTTTACTGTTCATTGAGTGTAGATGAGCCTGGGCACCATTTTGAATATCCAGTAAAGAACCATCATGTACACATAGTTTGGTTGCCTGCATTAAGGATCAATATTGACCCAATATATATTTGGTTGTGTACGTTGTACTGGACGGACAAACTACACGTTGTGTCTTTGCGAACAGCGTAGGTTGTGATCACCACTTCTCACTAGTGGTGACCTTACCACACACGATTTAGACATCATCTCACTCTTAGCTAAGAAAGAATGACAGTTCATCCTGACTACTATCAAATTGCAGTACAAATTCAAGAGCCATATGGCAAAATAGGAGAAAGCTAATCGATGCTAACTAGGTAGAAGTCCATCCTCATCCTCTTCTACTTCCCACTGCATTGTCAAATGCCTTCACACTATGGCCTGAGCTAACAGCATTATCAAGCGTCACCTCTATCTCCTCTCACATGAGGTCATCACAACCCATTATAGGATCCAGTTATGAAGGATGCAACATTCAATAAGCAACTTAACCCGATGGGGTAAGGCTGATATGGTTTCAGATCCAGGATCTTAAATCTTTTCTTCAGAGCTTCAAATGCCATCTCAGCCGTAAGTCTAAGGCTAGAGTGTCTTAGATTGAACAATTCCTGTGCAATATTAGGTAGTTCCTATCAGAGAGCTCGTTCAGATGATACTTGGTTTTTCTGATGGCTGGAAGAACACCTGTCTCACATGCATATACTAGTATCATGCATATGATACTAGTCTGTGATACTACCTCGCTAATGCATAGTATCATATATTAGTATCATGTAGTACTTTATATATTGTCATGCATGACGCATAGTAGCATAACATTTACTATGATATGGTATCATGATATGATACTCAACCCTCTTTTTCTTCATTTAATTCTATGACACCTCATCAAAATTGCCTAGTTGTCATGCATGATACTAGTTATGATACTACCGTTATGATCAGCCTAATCTAGCTACATCACATGTCCTATTTCTATCTAGAGTACTCCCTCCGTCACGGTTTAGAAGGCACAGTTAAATGCAGCACAGATTAAATGCGGTCATTACTGTCACACCAGTTGTTAGTTCGAACGTACGTACTAGTACTCATCCAGCTCTTCTAAGCCTCCACAAGATCGGAAACTGTGGGTAGGCCGGGCATGGATGCATCCATGGCGCCAACGAAGGGTGACGAGCAGCCCCCGTTACGCATGCTCTTCTTCCCGTTCCTCCTCCCTGGCCACCTCATCCCGATGGCCGACATGGCCGCGCTCTTCGCCGCCCGTGGCGTTAGGTGCACCATTCTTACCACGCCCTTGCAAGCTTCGACCATCCGCTCCATCGTCGACCGTGCCAACACTTCCCTAGGGTCGGTGGATGTCGTCGTTGTTCCTTTCCCAGACGTTGGGCTTCCCCCCAGCGCCGAGAGCGGGACTGGCCTGACATCCAAGGACTACAACGACAGGTTCCTTCAAACGGCGGAGCTGCTCCGGGAGCCCTTCCGCCGCTTCCTGTCCGACCACCACGCCGAGATCGACGCCGTCGTCTCTGACGGCATCTTCCACTGGTCCGTGGACGAAGCAGCGGAGCATGGCGTCCCGCGCATCACGTTCCTCGGCACCAGCATGTTCGCCCGTTCATGCACGGAAGCCATGCTCCGCAGCAACCCGTTGGAGGCGTGCTCGGACGACCCAGCCGCCGTCGTCTCCCTGCCGGGGCTGCCGCACAGGGTGGTGGAGCTGCGGGGGCAAATGATGGACCCTGTGAAGCGGCCACATGAGTGGGCATTGTTCCAGCTCATCCACGCCGCGGATCGGCGGAGCTACGGCGAGCTCTTCAACAGCTTCCACGAGCTGGAGCCGGCCTACGCCGAGCACTACCGCGCCACACTCCACCGCCGAGCCTGGCTTGTCGGCCCGGTTGCGCTCGCAAGCGGCAGCGGGAAGGACGTGGCGTCAAGAGGCGCCATTGCTGGCACGCTCTCGCCGGAGGCCATCGGGTGCCTGCGCTGGCTCGACAAGAAGCCGGCCAGCTCGGTGGTGTACGCCTCCTTCGGCACAATGACAAGCTTCTCGCCGGAGCAGACGCGGGAGCTCGCCCGCGGCCTTGACCTCTCGGGCAAAAATTTCCTGTGGGTCATCACCAATGGCAGTGCCGCTGCTGCATCAGTGGATATATGTATGCCAGACGGGTTCCCAACTGCGCACCGTGGGTACGTCGTCCATGGCTGGGCGCCGCAGGTGCTCATCTTGAACCACCCCGCCGTTGGTGGTTTCATGACGCACTGCGGGTGGAACTCCACGCTGGAGGCCGTGAGCGCCGGCGTGCCGATGGTGACGTGGCCGCGGTACGCCGACCAGTTCCACAACGAGAAGCTGGTCGTGGAGGTACTGGGGGTGGGCGTCAGTGTTGGTGCCGAGGACTACGCAACATGGATGGAGACCCACCGGGTCATCACCGGCCAGGTGATCGCCGAATCCATCAGGAAAGTGATGAAGGAGGAGGGCGACGGCGACATGATACGAAAGAGAGCTGAGGAGCTCCGCGACAAGGCGAGGGCCGCGGTGGAGAAAGGCGGGTCGTCGTACGACGATGTTGGGCAGCTCATGGAGGAGTTGATCGCCCGCCGGTGCTCCGGACGTAAGGCGGGTGGATAATTGTGTGATCCGGCCTCAGCGTGCTACCCGTTTTGCACTGTACCGACTACCATGTACCTTACTCCACCGCATATATTTCTGCTTTCCTACCCTGCCGTGGCGGCCCTGAATCTCTGCCTCTGGCTGGCTCTGTTGGCCTGGCCGGGGGGCTGCGGCACGCCGTCTCGCTCGGCAGCAGTGCGTGCGTTTCCGCGCGAGAAAGAGAGAGGTGTATGCGTCTGAAACCGGAACATGGGTTCTTGAGGAGAATGGATGGAATGGGGAAGTTATGCTCACTAATTATCAGTCAGCATCTGTGTTTCTTAATGGCTAGTAACAGTGGCGGAGCTAGCTACAAATGACTCGGGGGCCATGGCGTGTGTGGAGGGCTGGTTTCTTCATAAACTATATTTCTCTCAATTTGTGATACCCAAATACATAATTTCTTCACAAAAAATCAAGGAGCTGGGGGGCCATGGCCCCTGCACTAACACACATAGCTCCGCCAGTGGCTAGTATATGCATTTTCACAGGTTTGACCGCGGGTCACACCGTTTTCTAGCCGCGGTGGACACTAAGGGGGAAACGTGGACACACTTCCTCGGTCTTAGTAAAGGTTTTATCCAGCAATCACAGGGCTGCTTGCATTATACTCATTTTGTCTCATAATATAAGAATATTTTTGACATTAGTGTTGTTTCAAAAACGTTTTTATATTATGGGACAGAGGGAGTACAAATTCTAAGAGAGATGAAGACGGTGTTGTAGTTACGGTGTTGTAGTTCGATTACTAGCTTATGTTCTCGAAGACTATGGCAGTAAAGAATGGGCATTGAAGCATAGCGTTGAATCTTGATACATATTCAGATGGAATCTTCTTTAGTACATGAATCCGAATTTCGAGTGGATTATGATTCATCCGCACTGTAACTTGATCTTCTTCACTTTGGGACAAGGTATCCTTGGATCGTCGACAAGTCAAACTAATCCCTGGTACTAAAAATTACATGGGGCCATATCTCCCATATGTGCTGCTGTACTCGGAGTTACCACCTTTGCACATGTTTTTTCTTCCGGTGAAAATCGCGCCGACTACGCTCATGGCTGGCGGACGATGGCGGCGTCTATGACGTCGTTCCCTTCTTGAGGCATCGTTGTTGTAGGTCATGGCACCCCACTCGTGATGCTCTGGGGAAAACCCTAGATCTGGGACTACCGTATCGGACGATGATGGCACCTTCGATGCCGTTGTCCCTCCTGGGGACATCATTTTGAAGCACGTGCTAGCTGGAGGGGACAAGAGGAGGAGCGGTGTTACATCTACCGCAAGACCGACGGCGGATCCCGGCGGCATGGCGTCACGGAGGTTTGGCGATGGGCGCATATTGGAGATGGACTCGCGCAGGAGGAGTATGATGTCTGGCGTCATGATGGCGTTGATGGCAGAGAGGCCTGGCAAGCACTTCCACCGCTTCCTGGACGACCACCATGCCGAGATCGACGCCGTCGTCTCCAACGGTATCTTCCATTGGTCCGTGGACAACGTCGCGGAGCATGGCATCCTGCGTATCACGTTCCTCGGCACCAGCATGTTTGCACGTTCCTGCATTGAGGCCATGCTCATTAGCAACCCGTTCGAGGCATGCTCCGACGACTCAGTCGCCGCCGTCTCCTTGCCAGGGCTGCCGCACCGGGTAGTTGACCTGCGGGGGAAGATGATGGACCCTGCGAAGCGGCCACATGAGTGGGCATTGTTCCAGCTCATCCACGCCGCGGATTGGCGGGAGCTCCTCATAGGCTGGCACGGGAGCCTCGCCGATGGTGACGTGCGCTTCGTCACTAGTAGAAAAAGGATCATCTGTCCCGGTTGGTAAGGGCCTTTTGTCCCGGTTCTTACACGAATCGGGACAGATGGGCCTCCACGTGGCCGGTGCGTCGAGTCCAGGCAGGAGGGCCTTTGGTCCCGGTTGGTGGCACCAACCGG